CGGGGAAAGCAGGGCAGGCGGGAAAGCAGGGCAGGCGGGAAAGCAGGGCAGGCGGGAAAGCAGGGCAGGCGGGAAAGCAGGGCAGGCGGGAAAGCAGGGCAGGCGGGAAAGCAGGGCAGGCGGGAAAGCAGGGCAGGCGGGAAAGCAGGGCAGGCGGGAAAGCAGGGCAGGCGGGAAAGCAGGGCAGGCGGGAAAGCAGGGCAGGCGGGAAAGCAGGGCAGGCGGGAAAGCAGGGCAGGCGGGAAAGCAGGGCAGGCGGGAAAGCAGGGCAGGCGGGAAAGCAGGGCAGGCGGGAAAGCAGGGCAGGCGGGAAAGCAGGGCAGGCGGGAAAGCAGGGCAGGCGGGAAAGCAGGGCAGGCGGGAAAGCAGGGCAGGCGGGAAAGCAGGGCAGGCGGGAAAGCAGGGCAGGCGGGAAAGCAGGGCAGGCGGGAAAGCAGGGCAGGCGGGAAAGCAGGGCAGGCGGGAAAGCAGGGCAGGCGGGGAAAGCAGGGCAGGCGGGAAAGCAGGGCAGGCGGGAAAGCAGGGCAGGCGGGAAAGCAGGGCAGGCGGGAAAGCAGGGCAGGCGGGAAAGCAGGGCAGGCGGGAAAGCAGGGCAGGCGGGAAAGCAGGGCAGGCGGGAAAGCAGGGCAGGCGGGAAAGCAGGGCAGGCGGGAAAGAAGGGCAGGCGGGAAAGAAGGGCAGGCGGGAAAGCAGGGCAGGCGGGAAAGAAGGGCAGGGCGGGAAAGCAGGGCAGGCGGGAAAGAAGGGCAGGCGGGAAAGCAGGGCAGGCGGGAAAGCAGGGCAGGCGGGAAAGCAGGGCAGGCGGGAAAGCAGGGCAGGCGGGAAAGCAGGGCAGGCGGGAAAAGCAGGGCAGGCGGGAAAGCAGGGCAGGCGGGAAAGCAGGGCAGGCGGGAAAGCAGGGCAGGCGGGAAAGCAGGGCAGGCGGGAAAGCAGGGCAGGCGGGAAAGCAGGGCAGGCGGGAAAGCAGGGCAGGCGGGAAAGCAGGGCAGGCGGGAAAGCAGGGCAGGCGGGAAAGCAGGGCAGGCGGGAAAGCAGGGCAGGCGGGAAAGCAGGGCAGGCGGGAAAGCAGGGCAGGCGGGAAAGCAGGGCAGGCGGGAAAGCAGGGCAGGCGGGAAAGCAGGGCAGGCGGGAAAGCAGGGCAGGCGGGAAAGCAGGGCAGGCGGGAAAGCAGGGCAGGCGGGAAAGCAGGGCAGGCGGGAAAGCAGGGCAGGCGGGAAAGCAGGGCAGGCGGGAAAGCAGGGCAGGCGGGAAAGCAGGGCAGGCGGGAAAGCAGGGCAGGCGGGAAAGCAGGGCAGGCGGGAAAGCAGGGCAGGCGGGAAAGCAGGGCAGGCGGGAAAGCAGGGCAGGCGGGAAAGCAGGGCAGGCGGGAAAGCAGGGCAGGCGGGAAAGCAGGGCAGGCGGGAAAGCAGGGCAGGCGGGAAAGCAGGGCAGGCGGGAAAGCAGGGCAGGCGGGAAAGCAGGGCAGGCGGGAAAGCAGGGCAGGCGGGAAAGCAGGGCAGGCGGGAAAGCAGGGCAGGCGGGAAAGCAGGGCAGGCGGGAAAGCAGGGCAGGCGGGAAAGCAGGGCAGGCGGGAAAGCAGGGCAGGCGGGAAAGCAGGGCAGGCGGGAAAGCAGGGCAGGCGGGAAAGCAGGGCAGGCGGGAAAGCAGGGCAGGCGGGAAAGCAGGGCAGGCGGGAAAGCAGGGCAGGCGGGAAAGCAGGGCAGGCGGGAAAGCAGGGCAGGCGGGAAAGCAGGGCAGGCGGGAAAGCAGGGCAGGCGGGAAAGCAGGGCAGGCGGGAAAGCAGGGCAGGCGGGAAAGCAGGGCAGGCGGGAAAGCAGGGCAGGCGGGAAAGCAGGGCAGGCGGGAAAGCAGGGCAGGCGGGAAAGCAGGGCAGGCGGGAAAGCAGGGCAGGCGGGAAAGCAGGGCAGGCGGGAAAGCAGGGCAGGCGGGAAAGCAGGGCAGGCGGGAAAGCAGGGCAGGCGGGAAAGAAGGGCAGGCGGGAAAGAAGGGCAGGCGGGAAAGAAGGGCAGGCGGGAAAGAAGGGCAGGCGGGAAAGCAGGGCAGGCGGGAAAGAGGGCAGGCGGGAAAGCAGGGCAGGCGGGAAAGCAGGGCAGGCGGGAAAGCAGGGCAGGCGGGAAAGCAGGGCAGGCGGGAAAGCAGGGCAGGCGGGAAAGCAGGGCAGGCGGGAAAGCAGGGCAGGCGGGAAAGCAGGGCAGGCGGGAAAGCAGGGCAGGCGGGAAAGCAGGGCAGGCGGGAAAGCAGGGCAGGCGGGAAAGCAGGGCAGGCGGGAAAGCAGGGCAGGCGGGAAAGCAGGGCAGGCGGGAAAGCAGGGCAGGCGGGAAAGCAGGGCAGGCGGGAAAGCAGGGCAGGCGGGAAAGCAGGGCAGGCGGGAAAGCAGGGCAGGCGGGAAAGCAGGGCAGGCGGGAAAGCAGGGCAGGCGGGAAAGCAGGGCAGGCGGGAAAGCAGGGCAGGCGGGAAAGCAGGGCAGGCGGGAAAGCAGGGCAGGCGGGAAAGCAGGGCAGGCGGGAAAGCAGGGCAGGCGGGAAAGCAGGGCAGGCGGGAAAGCAGGGCAGGCGGGAAAGCAGGGCAGGCGGGAAAGCAGGGCAGGCGGGAAAGCAGGGCAGGCGGGAAAGCAGGGCAGGCGGGAAAGCAGGGCAGGCGGGAAAGCAGGGCAGGCGGGAAAGAAGGGCAGGCGGGAAAGCAGGGCAGGCGGGAAAGCAGGGCAGGCGGGAAAGCAGGGCAGGCGGGAAAGCAGGGCAGGCGGGAAAGCAGGGCAGGCGGGAAAGCAGGGCAGGCGGGAAAGCAGGGCAGGCGGGAAAGCAGGGCAGGCGGGAAAGCAGGGCAGGCGGGAAAGCAGGGCAGGCGGGAAAGCAGGGCAGGCGGGAAAGCAGGGCAGGCGGGAAAGCAGGGCAGGCGGGAAAGCAGGGCAGGCGGGAAAGCAGGGCAGGCGGGAAAGCAGGGCAGGCGGGAAAGCAGGGCAGGCGGGAAAGCAGGGCAGGCGGGGGAAAGCAGGGCAACAGGCAGGCGGGAAAGCAGGGCAGGCGGGAAAGCAGGGCAGGCGGGAAAGCAGGGCAGGCGGGAAAGCAGGGCAGGCGGGAAAGCAGGGCAGGCGGGAAAGCAGGGCAGGCGGGAAAGCAGGGCAGGCGGGAAAGCAGGGCAGGCGGGAAAGCAGGGCAGGCGGGAAAGCAGGGCAGGCGGGAAAGCAGGGCAGGCGGGAAAGCAGGGCAGGCGGGAAAGCAGGGCAGGCGGGAAAGCAGGGCAGGCGGGAAAGCAGGGCAGGCGGGAAAGCAGGGCAGGCGGGAAAGCAGGGCAGGCGGGAAAGCAGGGCAGGCGGGAAAGCAGGGCAGGCGGGAAAGCAGGGCAGGCGGGAAAGCAGGGCAGGCGGGAAAGCAGGGCAGGCGGGAAAGCAGGGCAGGCGGGAAAGCAGGGCAGGCGGGAAAGCAGGGCAGGCGGGAAAGCAAAGCAGGGCAGGCGGGAAAGCAGGGCAGGCGGGAAAGCAGGGCAGGCGGGAAAGCAGGGCAGGCGGGAAAGCAGGGCAGGCGGGAAAGCAGGGCAGGCGGGAAAGCAGGGCAGGCGGGAAAGCAGGGCAGGCGGGAAAGCAGGCATGTGAAGCTCACGTTATCCAAGAACGCGGGGTGCTCTGGCCAGAACCCCGAGTCGATCACGCCTATCACCACGCCCTCCCCCGCGCTGTCCTCCCCGCCGTTCCCCGCCCACAGGGACGCGGGCAGGCGGAGGAAGTTGGGGGAGTTGGTGGTGAACGGGCGGATTTCCGCCACGCGCGCGACTTGCGCCACCGCGGGGTGCTGGCGCAGCCTGGCGACTTGCGCGCGGGAGAGCTTGGCGGAGAAGCCGTTGGAAGCGAATCGATAGCTGCGGCGAAAAGGGGGTTGGGCGCATAGGAGAAGTTTGGGGGGAAAGAGAGAGATAAGAGGAGGTGACGGGAGGCGAACAGAGGAGAAGAGCGGGACGCAATTTCCCTCAACACGGAAAAACCTCCTAGTTTTCTTCAGTCCTTTCCCTTACGCACAACAATCTTCCGCCCTTCCCTTCCCCGTTTTTCCCCCCCACCTTCCCCCTCCCCTTCCACCTTCCCCCTTCCACCTTCCCCCTCCCCCCCGCACTGCCTCACCTGTGCACCAGGTTAATGAGCGGAACCCCCGCGTCTTGCGCCACGCGCAGCTGCATCTGGCGCAAATACCGCCCGAACTGGCGCACGTGCGGGGCGCGCGCATTCACCTTGCGTTGCAGCCGCTTCCGCCACTTCCCCGCAAGCTTCCCCAAGTCCCTCCCCGCATTCCACCCCGCCCCGCCGCGGCCTCTCCGCCCCCGAAACCGCCTATTAAATGAAGTCACGGCATTTGCGGCACGAGCAGCCATAGTTTCCGCAGCCTTCGCTAACGTACTCGAAGCGCGGGAATCACGAGAGTCTAGACTCAACGCGCTAGCCCCGCCGCCGCCGCCACTGCCGCTGCTGCTGCCGTCGCTATCTAACCCACCGTCTTCCTCCGAGCCGCTATCGGATGGCGCTGTAGCGGGGATGCCGGCGATCCCGCCCTTGTAGTTCACTATAGAGGGCGCGGAACGAAGGCGGACGGTGTAGAGTTGAGCCCCGTTAGAAGGTCCCGACTGCCTGTCCGCCGCTGATACTGCTGAGAGGGGACGCGGAAGGGAAGCGGAAGGGAAGCGGAAGAAAAAGGGTGTCCTTAGAATCACCACCTTGCTCTATAATACGACGGAGACACACACCTGCAGTACTCCACATTGTTCCCCCTCCTCTTCTAGTGATTCTGCACCCGCATTTCCAGCAGGCACTAGTGAACCTAATCCTGGTCTACTGCGCGGCGCGGAAAGGTGACTATGGCGGAGCACCTGCTCTAGGTTCCGACGGTCGTGCCAGTACGTCGAGTCAGCTCGGAATGGGTACCGAATAAACTGGAAAGCTCACCTAATCGCTCGCCTCACCGCTCGCTTCACTGCTCGCCTCATTTCACCTCACCACGCCTCACCGCTCGCCTCACCTGTAAGCCTATGTGGACCCCAGCTCGCGACGACGAGTAACAAGCACGCGAGCGAGAGGAAGAATCGAGGGTGCGAGTGGCGCGAGGGGGAGAAGCAGGACTCCATCGAACACGATACTCCCAATGCACGAGAACCGCGCGACTGAAACTGCGACCGTAGCTGCGACTGAGACTGCGACTGTGAGTGCGACCGCTGACACCGGTCGGGGAGGGTGTGTTGCGGGTGGGAACTTTGGTGGCACGCGCAACGTGAAAGACTCGAACGTGATTGGCTGTCGGATGCGCTACGTAAGCATGAAGGCATCGTGCGGCTTCTACGGTCGAAGGAGGGGAGGGGGGGAGGGGGGGGAAGGGGGGGGGGGAGAAGAGGGAAATATGGGGGAAAGGAACTTCGCTCGACTGGAGTTAAATAGGCAGTGGCTAGTCGAAAGATGGACGGCAAATGAAGTAAGATGAAAATCTCTTGAGGCCCTGAATATCTCAGAACTGAACTGAGCTGTCGGGATGTTTCTAAGGACAGTAAGAGATGCTCGCGACTGGAAACTTCGGAGCGCTAGTCTCTCGCAATGGTCTCTGGGAACGGAAGCGTAAGGTTAGAGTCCGTCCGATGGCAACCTAATCGGCGCAATTCTGTCTTATAATAGTGGGTTGGGACTAGGGTACATCAGTACTCAGTGAGATTAATATGCGCGCTAAGTGCGGGGCTAGTACCCATGGGCTAACTAGCTGGTTTACGGAGATCAGTTTTGCTGCGTGTACTCTTGTCAAGTTGAGACAAGCTCACAGGCTGCCACCACTCAGAACACGAGTATGGGTTCGAGGGTGATTTCCTTCTCCTGGGTGACGGGTGACAGTGTGGTGCAGTTACTCGTACCGCTGTCTGGGGCTTGGCCCATATCAGCCAGTCTCGTCAGCAGTGTATGTTCGCCTGTTAGGGTTTCCATTCCATTCTTGCTCCCCCCACAAAACACTGTGGTCTTTTCGGTGAAGGGAGCAAGTACATACGCGGACCAAAGCAGGAGAGGGGAGAGGGATATGAGGGGAGAGGGAATGGGGAGTGGTGGAGAGAGGTGAGGGGAAGGGGGAGAAGGGAAGAACTGTACCAAATGCCTTCTGTTCTGCTGTTTCTTCATTTCCTTCTCCTGCGCACCAACCTGCACAGTTCATCGTGCTCACACCCACTGCCCTCGACATTCCGTTCCGCGTCCAGCTCCGCCCGCAAAAACCCTGACAAAGCGGACCTGGTTAAAGGTTTTCGCCTGGTTCGATTTGGTTTAACTGGGCAGAAGATACGGTCCAGATCCAGGTGGGGGCTCAACTTGCGAAGACTGTCGGTGTATTGTGATGATGTGTCGGGTCGGAGTTTGTGTTGGGCTACAGTACAGTTATTTCAGGGGGGAACGTCGTCGCGCGGTCATTGTTCGTCGCAATGCTGCTCGACGTGGCGGTGGTGTGCAGCACAACAGTGGGCTGGTTCATGGCTGTGGTGAGGCTGGTGGGCACATGGGCAGTGGGGGGAAGTGGGCAGGGGGATGGTGGAAGGCAGAGGGGGGAGTTATGCATAATCGATCCATTTTGTTCGAGGGTTTTGGGGTGGTGGAAGGCAGAGGGGGAGTGTTACACATGTGAGCGACGTGGTGCGTGCGAAAGTTACATGGCGAAAAGTGTGCTAGCGGTAACGCGCGAAGTAATCTAGCACCTCCAAGCCACTTCCCAAACGGTAGGATACGAAAAAGTTTTACACATCTATCATGTACGTCCTACACTATTCATAATAACGAGTATAAATATGCTGCATGAGGCATCAACAGAAAACACCACCAGTTCTGATCTGTCTGTCTGTCCTCGTCCCGCTGACGGTTCCTCCTGACTGTTCAGAGGATTCAAAGACCCATTATCCCATAATCCCATCCTCACACATCCCAGAATGATCTCTAGTGGGTGCTAGCGACGATTCTCTTTTCTCGCTGCGTGTCTGGCGCCTGCTTCTATCTCTTCCGTCTTCTATGGCACACTTAGCTGATTCATGCCAGACCGACGATTCTCTTTCCGTTACGTCCCTGCGCCTTTCTTCCGCCCGTCTAAACCTTAATCCTTGATCACATGCTGGGAGGAAGCTCCCGCGAGATCCATGCAAACGCAACCCAATGGATCCGAATCGTCTAAACTTTCAAAATCTTAAGGACCTGCCCTTCGTGCCGTACGAGGCGGTGGTGATTTGCGCCGAGGCCGATGGCGTTGCTCCCGCGCTGCTGCTGCGGCCCATGGGAGAATTCACCTCGCGATATTCGAATTATGCGGAGCAAAGGGGGGAGTATCTGATAAATATGCCAGATGGCTCCGCGCGATTGGCTTTGGAGCATCACGTGCGCCCGAAACGAAACCTGCGCGCGGCTTTCTTGACGTCCCTGGGCCCGGATGCCGCGGTGAGTGGATCTGATACGATTTTGAACTAGATCCGCTGCTGCATCGAGCGAATCATTTCGCCTATGGCCCGAGAAACGCGAGCTGCGAATGCTGTGAATGAGATCTTCTAGTGTCTGTAACAAGTGAATGAGATCGTCTATTTTTTTGCCGTTGATTGCTCTGCTCTTTCCGTGCAGGCCGATGTGGGATGCGTGCTGTTTCGGCTGAAGCAGGAGGGGCATTTGGCCTTGGAGATTTGCGGGCCGCCGGGGACTGCTGCGTACTGCCATGCGCTACGGCACTCCGTGGGATGGAAACACCCCAAGGTGCGTTGCGTGAGAGCCTGCTTTGAGTTGACTTCGATGGAAACTGCAGCGCTCTACCAAGCGCTTTGGTTCTTTGGGTGGAGTTGAAGCAGTTGGAATTGGAAGAGTCAACGGCATTTCGTACCTGGCGGATGGTCTAGCATTGTTCTATAACAAACCATCAATCCACTGCAGCAACAGCACATGGTGCCGTGTGTCTTGTCAGTTTGATGAGTCGTGTTCTTTCCTTACACTCTTATAATTCACCCTTCCCTACACACCTGATCCGCCCTAAGCCCTATTAGATACTTCTTTCCAAAAACCGGCTAAGATCCAGATCTAGACCTGGGAAAACTAGCCGATTTTTTAGGACGGCCATCTGCCTCCCTTCCTTGTGCTTTCCGCTTTAAACCTCCTGTCAAATCTTTTCCAGCTCCTTGGCTCACTCCATCCTTTCCCATGGCGTGCTCATTTGCGCTGTTCAGGTGTTTGTGCGAGAGGCGGGTGCAGGGACCAGCCTGTGTTCGAAGACAGCAACGTGCTGCTCCTCCCTCTCTTCACCCACACCGCCTCCCTCTCCCCTTCCCATCTCCTCCTGTGCGTACATCACACTTACTCGCACTCTTCAGGTGTTTGTGCGAGAGGCGGATTCAGGGGACCAGCCAGTATTCGAAGACAAAAACGTGCTGCTGCTCCCGCTCTTCACGCACACCGCCTCCCTCTCCCTCTGCTTCTGCTGCTACCGTCGCCGCCTGGCCCTCCGCATGGCTGCTAGATCCGCCCGCGCTGGTTCCGCTGGGGGGGTTGGAGGGGCTGCTGGAGGGGATGTGAGGGGCGAGAGCAGGGGAGGTGGGGCGTCAGCACAAGAGACGGCGGATGCAGGGGTTGCTGGGAGGGATGTGGGAGGTTGCTGTGGTGCGCATGGGGGTGGAGATGAGGGGGAGGATTTTGATGATTCTGATAGTGAAGATGGTACGGAGGGAGAGTATAGTTCTGGGGATGGTGGGGTTGAAGGTGAGGAGAGGGGGAGTGAGAGTGAGAGTGGGAGTGGGAGTGGGAGTGAGAGGGAGAAGGCCAGGGCGAGTAGTAGCAGCAGCACGAGTTCGGATTCAGAAGGCGAGGAGCCTCCAAGTAAGGCGGAGGCAGTAGGAAAGGGTGCAGAGAAGACTTTCGAGGCGTCTCAGAAGGAGAATTCAAGTAAGGCGGGGCCAGTGAAGGGTGCAGAGAAGAGTCTGGCGTGTGCGGAGGAGCCGGGGAAAGCGCAACAGGAAGGCAGGAAGGGGAAGAGAAAGGCTCCCAGTCCTGAAGTGATTGAGAGCGAGAGCGCAAGTGAGAGCGAAAGTGAAGGCGAAAGTGAGAGCGAAAGTGAAAGCGGGAGTGCAAAAAAGGGTGGGGAGATCAAGATGGAGATTGGGGTGGAGAACGAGAAGAGTCGTGGAGACAGGGAGAGCAAGGGTGGGAGTGGGACGGAGGGGGGAAAGAAGAGTGCAGACAGCAAGAGCAAGGGCAAGAGGGAGAGTGAGAGGGGGATTGAGAGAGTAAGAGAGAGTGAGGGAGGGGACATACTTTCGAGGCTGTCACGCGAATTGATGTTCTCTCGAATGGATGAGGTTTTTCTTGGGGTCTCGGACCCCAGAAAGGCTCTGCGCACTCTCTTTCCGGGTGCCCGCCGCCTGAACCTTGTTCCGCACCATGGGGGAAAGCAGCAGATGAGTCAGGGGAAGGGTGAAGGCAAGAGCACGGAGCAGGGCAGTGGGAAGGGCAAGGAGCAGAGCGAGGGGCAGAAGGAGCAGAGAGAGGGGCGGAAGGAGCAGAGAGAGGAGAAGGAGCAGAGAGAGGAGAAGGAGCAGAGCGAGGAGAAGAAGGAGGAGAGCAAAGAGCAGAAGGAGCAGAGCAAGAAAATTGAGAGTGAGAGTGAGAGTGAGAGTGAGGAGGATGATGTGGTTCTAATTGAGAAGGTGGAGAAGATAAGAATGATTGATTCGAACACGGGCGGCGAAGAGGGGGAGGAGGAGGAGGAGGAGGAGGAGGAGGAGGAGGAGGAGGAGGAGGAGAGGAGGAGGAGGAGGAGGAGGAGGAGGAGGAGGAGGAGGAGGAGGAAAGAAGTGAGGAGGGAGAGGAGGAGGAGGAGAAGGAAGGAAGTGAGGAGGGAGAGGAGGAGGAGGAGAAGGAAGGAAGCGAGGAGGGAGAGGAGGAGGATGAGAAGGAAGGAAGCGAGGAGGGAGAGGAGGAGGATGAGAAGGAAGGAAGCGAGGAGGGAGAGGAGGAGGATGAGAAGGAAGGAAGCGA